CCCTCGCCCAAACAATAACCCCTTTTAAAAAACTCCGCGGTGGCAATGAGACAGACCTTTTAAACCTTTACGCAGCTGTTCAAATACAACATCATTGTCAGGTTAAAAGCCTGGCGCCTCTAACTGTTCCGGCTATGGGATGCCGGCCGGCGAAGCCCGAGGTTTAAACATTACCTTTCCGTAGGGGTGGCTGTTTTTAAGCTTGAGGATGGAGGGGAGGGGGTGAGGAAAGCAGGAAAAAAAAAAAAAAAATCCAACTTTTGACTCTAGTCTGCTACCGGTCCTGTTCAAAGCTAACAGCCACGGACCAGCACCCCAAAAATTGTTTTATCAGAAGGTGGAGATCATGATCCCGGCCGCAGTTAAGCGTGCCCAGGGCTGGACAAAGTGCCCGCTGCACATGCTCTCAGCAGGCGCCCTGACGCCAGCCTGGTGCTCCAGGACTGTCGTCCCTTTGCATCTCACCCTTTGCTGGAACTCGGTTGTCCAGTTCTCCCTATCCCCACTCGTGAGGCAAGACTGTTCAATCTAATCGGGAATTTTATGCCCATCAAATGCCCTTTCATAATCTTTATTTATACATGAAGAAAACATTCAGGTTAAAAACCAGCAATTCCTCGCGGAGCGGGTAGGTGTGCGGTAAGCCAGCACAAGCAGGATCTGCCTTCCGAATTTGGGGGCCTTTCTGTTTCACCTCTCAGGGGCTTCGAGCTCTAAGTCACCCCCGTGTTAGATTTGGCTTGAAATAGTTCTTCTTCATTCACAGAAAATCTGTGTATCGGCTATAATTTTGAATCTATTATCACAAAATTCTTTTATTCTTTCTCAAATATCTGTCTTCAGACCAGTTCCTTGAGGCCAGAGACTCCAATATTTCAGAGGAATTTTGTAATAAAAATGGAGCAAAACAGAAATAATACAGGAGAATGATCTGGACCTGGGAGGATGGAGAGTTTGGCTAAGACTCTAAGGCTAGGATGGAGCAAATGGTATGAAAAGGCAGTGGCTTTCAAGGCCAGCCTGTATTTTGCTTAGGAGTATTTAATGTAGCTGCAAAGCTACCGTTTTCGATCATCTTTAGATCAGTTGGAGCAGTTACCATTAATAATAAATCAATATTGCTCTATAAAGGAGATGAATACCCATATTTGTACCAAGACATCCTTCTCCCTGGCACAGCTCTTTCCTGAGAAAAATTAATAGGGTTGCTTTAGCAAGAAATTAGCATTTGTAATCAAGAAGTGGCTTGCATCTGCGCTCTTCTGTCACCAGGAAGAACAGTGACCCTGGGCCTGAGTAGACCTGAGGACTCCTAGGTTGGCCCTGAATTTGGGCCCTGAGTGGCCTCAGGGCTGTGCCATTCTTTGGGGGCAGAGTGGATGGGGACAAATTTTAAAGGTTGCTTCCCCAGGGAGCCCCTCCGGGTTGCACTGTGCCCCTTCCAGCCAATGTGAAAAGAAATCAAGGGGGCAAATGGGCAGGCTGTGGAAGCCACCACCAACTCAGTGAAGAGTCTGTGGAGACTGTGCGAAAGGGCTGGCGGCTCGGGAGTCTTCTTTCCGTTACAGACACAAAAGACTCCTACTTGGCACACTTTCCCTCCACTTCAGGATCTGAGATCTCGGTGATTCAAGATATGTGGCCACACTCCATGAGCCCCACAGGCTCTGAACAATCAGGAGGGGTCGGGTCTGCAACCCCCCAGAAGTCCTGGCCCAATCCTCTGTCCTTTCTCAGGCCCGTTTGGGCGCTGCTGGTAGGAAAGGAACTGCAGACTGCTTAGCGCCCGTTGTCTGAGGAAGGCTGCCAGCCAAGGCCAAGGGGCCCTGAAAGGCCACACGCACCCCTGCTGGAGCTGCCTGAAGAGGAACACAGTGACATTTGGGGGGGAGGGTTCCCTCCCCATCTGGACTGAGACCCAGCTTAGGCTCTGAGAAATGTCACTTCACAATAGCTAAGCAGAACCGGCGGTCAGACAGGCAGGAGCCGGGGGTGCCCGTGGGGATCACCTATGCCTCTGGCTGGCGCCTCACTGGGGGGTTCATGGCGCCCCAACCTCCACTGAAGCTGATGCCAGCTCCCAGGGTGGACCCAGGGCCTCTGGTCCAGGGTTTGGAGAAAGGAGACAGAGACAGCAGGGCCCAGGAGGCCAGCACTAATTCTGGGGGTTGCTGGCTCTTCAAAATGAACTTCGGGAAAGAAAGGACAGCCACCGTCCCTTAGAACAGCCCATTCATGTCCTGGAGCCCTCCCTTTTGGACAGAGGATGGCGACACAGGCCCTCCCCAAAATCAGGGGCTTTGCAAAAGGGGGATGGGGGGCCAGGAGGGCATGCAGCAAGAAGACTGCTTTCAAGAGCTGGTGCCAAAATCAAACTCCATGCTCAAAGCCAGCAGGCGGCTGCGAAGACTGTCCAGGGTTCTGTCAAACGCAAAGCTCGTTTGCTTCAAATGCAATCCCCATTCGGCGCCGCCTTGCCTCCTTGCCTCGTAGTATAAACGTTTCCTGGGACAGCCTGCCGCTTCCCGCAGCCGCATCAGCCCAGCCTGGCCCAGGCGCCCCAATTCAGAGTTCCGCCTGCGCTTCTGGCTACCAGCAGCCCCGGCTGCCAGGCATGGTCGTGTTGGGGGGCACTCCCTCGCCCAGAACGACCCCCTCAGTCCCGACGCGTCTCATTTTCTCTGTGACCACACTCAGCTAAGTTGACGGCGCCCCGATCTGTCTTAAACAAAAGCCTTTTAATCATCCCAGGCGGTCGGAGAGCGTACGAGGCGGACGCTGTTTTGGGGAGGAGTTGGTCCTACCCTCACATCGTTCTCCATACTCAAACCAACAAGAAATTAATTTCTCTAATTTAATTAACTCTCAGTGGCATGACCTATTTGGAAATGTACATATTGGTCTTTAAAAAAATCTCTCCTTGACACCACCAGGTTATACCAAGGTATTCTTGGCAACGGCGTTATCTTTAAGGAGACAACGATTAGGTGACTGTCTGTTTCAGGAATCTGGGTAGCTCCCTTTTCTCTGTCTTTATACAACTTCCCACACTTCGTGGCTGCTTAGAACAAACAAACAGCAAACAAATGCCTTAGTGGCCGCCTGTTTCTAATGGGCTCAGATTGCCTATCAGAATCAGTATTGGAAAGATAGGGTACCGCGGCGTCTCCGCCAAACGCGGCTTCTGGAACGTGAGCACGCCCCCGTGTGGCTCTCCAAGGCCATGCAAGCGGGAAATGGTATCTCTCGGTTCGGCTTACCTAAGGTGGTGGACACACAAGCTTGCTACATTTAGACGCAGTTAAAAAAAAAAATAGATGGAGAGAGAAAGAAAGAAAGCAGTTTTAAGCTCCTGCAACGATCATACTACTAGGGCACTGACATTTTAACCGACGCCCAGAATTCCACACAAAGAAATCCCCTTCCGAACGAAATTATTCAATTGTAGGCTTTGTTTCTCTTGCAGTTTTCACCAAAGGTTGAGAGACACTTTGGAAAACAATATAAATATCTTTAGTTTTGTTCCATATCATAGCAAGTACAATAACTTATCTGACGGTGCAATAGTTTTTTTTCAAATATAGCGAAGGTGTAAATCTGACTAAAGCTTCCGCTTTCAAATGCCTGCTTTGAAAGCCGTGGTTCTTCATTAGAGCAAAGGGGAATGCTGTCTATGACCACCCCCCCCAAAAAACCCACCTCAGTATATCCTAACTGTATTAAAAAACATGCTGGTAGACACTTAAATCTAACCAGTATTTTAAAAAGAAGTCAACTGCTATTGAATTACACAAATGTTTGAAGGGAAATTAAGGTTATTGATCCTGAAATTAGGCATTTGCTTAGATTTATGGTGAACCCCTGATATGATGCTGTGTGGTCATAAATGTATGTGGGGGTCTGAATGTGTGTAAGCATGTGTGTTTGAGAGTGGGTGGCGGCTGAATATCACAGAAGAACCTTAAGGCGCCTAATTATTCAGAAAGGTTAAAGGTGATGACCTTGACATTTTGGAAGTTCAAAGGCATACACTTATGCACTTATGTTTTTCCTCCCCCCCCCACCAAACTTTGGCAATTAAAGAAATTTTGCATTTGGAAATGTATACCTCCTCTGAGGATGCATGGGGTACTGTATATCTTATGGATCTTTTTTCTTTTTTTTTTTTTTTACTTTCGGCTTAGGAGAGGTTAAGAGTCATGATTCACTTTACTTTTTTCAGAGAAAGAGATGCTTTTCTCACTCCTCCAGTTTATTGCACATTGCGGAAATCTCTTTTGGGCCCACCAGAAGGTGTATAATATAACCCAATTAAGCTGTTTAGAACTTTGGCTTTTATGGTGTTGTCTAGACAGTTCAAGGTTTTGTAAACAGCCTGGCCTGGCCCTGCAACATAAAGTGCAGTTCAGCCCCCACCACATTCTTTAACTTGAAGCGATAAATGCAGTGAGAAGTGGGTCTGCAGCCTCAGGCCCTATTCCAGGGAAGGGTCTTACCTTCTCTACCTACTGACACTAGCAAGAATCCCAAGCCCTCTCCACCACTGGTAACTACCTTTTAGCAAATTATCTTTTTTTTCAACGAAGGTTTCCAATTTTGGCTTCTTTTTTTTAAGGGACCCTGGCTCCTTGACACCTTGTTAAGAGTAAATTTAGATTTCTAACAAGTTTTTAAAAATGGTTTTTGTCTTTTCAAAAATTCCAAGTTCACTAAACTGGGAATGGGGGGAGGAGACTTCCTTCATAGGTTCCTGCTGCCCCAGCCTCATTGCCTGGAGAAAGCAGCACCAGAATGGCTGGGTCACATCCTCAATTCAGAAATTCATCCCTAAAGTGATTTTTCAAACCAGTGTAGCCTAGACAGGGTGGGAGAGAGCTACTCTTATTTCAGTGGGATTAAAAAGCATTTCACTTGATTTTCAGTTGCATATGGGAGAAGGTTCTGGCCACTAAAATCCCCTAATCAGACACTAAAATTCTTTCAAGAGGAAAAAATCATATATTGTGTTGAAGCTGTAACCTCCATTTTACCAGAAACCATTTATTCACACAAAACACAGTGACTTATGCCTTGATACGACAGACCGACAGACCGAAGATACATTTCCCAGAGTTTAAATAATCTGCATTCACCAAGGGGGGATGGTCAGGTCCCTTAAACTCAGAACAAAAACAAGCGCCTTCCAGCCCAGCGGCCTAACTCTCTACAGATCCCACAGCGTCCCCACCGGGACTCGGAGAGAGGGAGGGAGAACAACAGCACATTGGCGGTAAAATTGTAAAGGGACGTTTGCATTTACCATTTTCCCCTTATTAGGATCCATTCGGCCAAGTCCCCGGCCTCGTCGGCAGGCAGCAGTGGTCGCTGGGAGGTCCCGAGTTGACCATGGGAAGGAATCGTGGAGTTCCACAGAGAAGAGGCGTCATTAAACCCAAGAACATTGGGCCTGCCCAGGGCAGGCTGGTGGGGAAGTGGGTGGGTGAGTGGGGCTCGGGAAGAGGGGTGCTTCCTGGAGCTCTCAAAATAAGGGGTTTCCGGTGAAATACTGCAGACGGTCTCTGTTCAGTTTCTTTTCTTTCATTCTGCGATTCTGGAACCAGATTTTGACTTGCCGGTCAGTGAGGTTGAGCATCCGAGAGAGTTGGAGTCTTTTCTCTTTGTTTATGTACACGTTAAAGAAAAACTCGCGTTCCAGTTCGCGGATCTGGTACTTGGTGTAGGGACAGCGCTTTTTCCGGGACCGCTGGGGGGCCACTGCAAGGCAGAGAAACCAAGAGGTGAGAGAGGCCACTGGCTGCCCACTGCAGCCCGCCCACCGGCCCAGGCCCGCGCGAGGGCCAGGCCTCGGCCCGTTGGGGACGTCCCCTGCCGCCACTGAAAGGCCCTGCCTGAGTCGTGGGGGATGATATATGGGCGGGCACAGGAGAGAGTGCGGGCGTGGACCTGTGTTCACGCCCGGACGGAGACACACACACACACACACACACACCCTGGCACGGAGGTGGAGACGCAGAGGGCAAGGCCGGCTCTGAGTTGGAACCCGAAGGGAGAGAAACACGAGCGCGCCCGTGCATCTGCTCTACTCCAGCCAGCAGCGCGCGTCAGCCAGAGGCTTGGATAAAGTCCAGTTCAAGGATCTCCCCACCCCACCCCCCTTAAAAGCAGGAGGCTCGAGCGTCCACATTCACAAAGTGGCTTGAAATCTCCCCTCCTCACTCCATGGTCTCTAGCAACCCCCACCCCCCCAAACTGGGGAAAATCTCTCTGCAGCGATTAATGTCCCCTTCGAAGTCTACCTTAAGCCCACCTAAATTGGTTTCCTATCGTAAACACACTTTACAACGGCCCGGGAAATCTTATAGGATGTATAAACCCCTTCGAACGCTTATAAAGTAGCACATAAAACCGCGCAAGCAGAGGGAGGCCCCCGCCGCCCCCCCGCGCCCGCGGCCCCCCCGCCCCCGCCCCGGCCCAGCCGCCCACCCCGCACCGGGTGCCTACCTGTGCCGCCACTCTTCTCAGCCCCCGCCTCCCCCGGGGGCCCCTCGCCCTCGTCGCCGCCGCCTTCTGCCGCCCCCTTGGGCTCCGAGCCGGGGGTCGCCTTGGCGCAGGGACTTCCCCCGCTGCCACCGGCCCCCGTCTTGGGGTCGCCCTTGTCGGCGGCGCCCTCGGGCTGCGGCGGCGCAGGAGGTGGAGGGGGCTGCGGCCCGGCGAATGGGGGCCCGGGCGCAGCCTCGTAGAACTGATCGAAACCCTGAGGCAGGATGCCGTTTCGGCCCACGGCGCTGTAGAAGTTGGAGGCGGCGCCCGGGGGGCCGTGTGGCGGCCCGGGCGCGGCGCACACCGGCTCCGGCGCCTTGAAGAGCACGTCCGGCCGGCGGCCCGCGGGAGGGAGCAGCTCGCGCTGCATGGCCGCCTCCTCGGCCGCCGCCGCCGCCGCCGCCGCCGCCGCGGCTGCCGCGTAGTAGGGAGCGTAGCCCCCGGCGCCGCCGCCGCCGCCCCCGCCGGGGCCGCCCCCGCCGCCGCCGCCCCCCGCGCCGCCGCCGCCGCCGCCGCCGCGGTACGGCCACTTGGCGCGCTCCAGGCCGTAGTCGCGGAAGGCCACTTCGCGCACGGGCTGGACGTGCGGCGCCAGGTTGGAAGAGTAGGGGAAAGTCATCTGGCAGGACGACGGTTGCGATAGGAAGGAGGGCTTGCTGGCGAAGTCCGACGGGGCCACATAGTAGGCGCAGCCGGGCAGGTACATGCTGGCTGCGCTCGGGCCGCACTCATCAAAGTCGTTCATGGCTCCGCGGCGTGCGCGCCGGCAAGCCCCGGGCCGCTCCCCGCGCCGCCAACCTGAGCCATCGATTGCACAAGAGGCTTGGGCCAGGATCAACTAAGCAAAAATCCCCACCGGGCGCTGACGTGCAATTCATCTTGATTGATTCTGGTGGTAATTATGTCACGTGACGCCATGGAGAGAAATGTCCTTATATCTATATCAGCTCTCGCCAACACGCCCCGGGACGGCTCCTGGCGCCGAGGCACGCGCGCGCTGGGGCGGATCAGTCTCCCGCTCCAGCCAGCACTCCCCGGGCGCTCCCTGACCAGGCTGAGCCGCAGGCTGGTCACCTGTGCGCCGCCGGCGGCCGCCACTGCTGGGTGCATCTGCCGCCGCCCGGCTGGGCCGCCCGCCCGCGCCCGCCCGCCCGCCCGCGCCGCTTTAAGTACGCGGACCGAAGCTGGCGGGGAGGAGGAGGGAGGGGGAGGAAGGGGGAGGAAGGGGGAAGGGAAAGAAGCGGAGAGCGGAGGGGGGAGCCCCAGCCCGGGGCACAGGGGACTAGGTGTGAGGTTGTGAGGTTCCCACCCCCCACACCCCTTCCTGCAGCCGCTCCCTCCCCCGCGACGCCGCCACCCCTCTGCAGCTTGCCGGTCAGAAGCTTGTTGCTTCTTTCTCAAGGGGCGTAATTGCGCCACTCTCGGGGCACACGGAGCCCTGATTTACATATTTCTCAGCCCAGCGCGTTCATCGCAGAATAACGTGGCTCCCCCCACTCCTGACCCCGGGAGCGCGAGTGCCAGCCTCGAAAAAACCCACACCAAAACCCTACCAGGAGCTCACCCAGGCCCGGGCCTCGGTGCCCACTCGGATCTCTCGCCCTCTCTTCTCTCTCTGTTCCTGTCTCCCTTTCTCCTTCCTTCGTCTCCCTTCAGTCTTCTCACTTCTTTCTCTCCTGTCCTCTCTTCTCCCACTCCCTTCTCTTGTTCCCTCTTGCCTTCTTCCTTCTTCTTACTTTCCCCGTTTCCTCTCCTCTTTCTCTGCCCCCTGATCTTCTCTCTTCCTTTCCTCTAGCTGTGTGTCACCACCTCTGTGCTCTCCCTGTCGCCTCTCTGCCTTTCTTCTCCCAATGCTAAAGCAGGGAGGAAGTTCAGCCAGCGGAGATGCCCCGTGGCCCTCTAGAAGCTGGGGGGTCTGGTGAACAAAAGGATCTGGAGTCCTACTCTAAAGGTGCCTGGCCTCCCGCTCCCCACCAATCGGAGACAAACCCCTGGCGCCTCCACCCTCCTCACCCTCTCTGCTTTTTGGCCTGGACTACGACCAGCCCGCCTCACAACCAGCCCCTTCGCTGCGTCGGAGACCCGCCAAGGCCTACGCATCCACGCCGCCTCCGGGTCTCCCCTAGGCTCCTGCAGTGCCCTTGGGCCGGCATGGTCTCTGCGGGGTGGTGGTGGGGGGAGCCCCCGGGAAGTCCGTTGGCTCTCGGGAGGGGGGCGGAATGCTCTCAGAAGCTTTTTCCTCCTTGCTTGAGCCTCTCTGCAGCACTTGGCCCTGAGAGCCCCCCATCCATTTGCCCCAAGGCCTCACTTTCCTCCATGGCCGCCAGGTCCCTCTTTCCTAGCCCGGGGGTCCAGGCGAGGCCTGGACTCCCGCCTCCAGGAGAGCCAGCGCTTTCCAAAGGTAAAATCGGTCTCTCAGAAAGAAGCTCCTCAAACCCAAATCCCAGAGCCGAGGGCAGGAAGTTGCCTCTCTCCCCAAGATTCCTCAGCCCAGGAAATCCCAGCACTGGGTTCTGGACCTCAGCCCTACGCCCAGGGCAGGCGGTGCAGGCTGTGAAGCTGGTTCCCTCCCTGCCCGGCCGCCGCAGTGCCCGTGTGGCAGGCTCTGCCCACCATGCCGACAGACAGAGAAAAGGCGGGCGATCGGAGTTCATATCTATTTTCTGGCCGTTGTCCCCCCCCCCTTTTTCTCCTCCCTCCTTTTCTCCCTCCCACTCTTCTTCCTCCGCCCCCCTCCCATCTCTGCTTTCCTCCGAACACTGCGCAAACAGGTCTGTGGCGACTGGAGGGCAAGCAGGCTCCCCCCGCCCCAGAACTGCTCATCGTTCTGTGCACCCCCCTCCCAGCTGGCACCCTCGCCCAGATTCCTGCTCGCCCCTTTCTCCTCGGTCCAGACCGCCAGCACACTTATCTGCCTCCCATCTCCATCGCCCGCCCAAGCCTCTCCCTTTCGGGCTCGTGGTCGACGCCCGTGGATCTCTCTCCTAAAATGGCTCCCCGGACACTGCACACTGGCCTGCGGCAGCTCAGGACCCAGGGCAGCGGCTGCAGGGACCCCGCCCCCCCCTCCTCCAGCCGGGTCTTTACGTGTCTGGGAGTGCGCAAAATTCTCACACCTTCCCTTTACACGGGGTGGGGCACAGACAGCTCGCTGCCCCCACAGCGGAGCCTGCTGACCGCTGAAGAGGGAAATGGGGAGGACGGAACCATTCAAGTTCAACGACATGGCGATGGCGGCTCGGGCTGGAGCGCGCTTTGGCGGGGGAGGGTGCGCCATCTGCAGCGGCGCGCGGGTGCATAGGGGAACGGGCCGCGGACCCCCTGGCTGCGCATTAGCGCGGATCCCCGCCCCCACACCCATCCTTGGGCTTTCATTTTGGGCCCAGCCCGCTTCGGCCTTTTGCCCCAGCTCCCTCCTCGATCCTCACCTCAAAACCCAAGGAAAACCGTAGCCTCCCGACCCCGCGCGTCCCGCGAGAACCTACCATGAAGACTCCGGCGTTGTGGCCTTGTCCTTGCCTGCGCGGCCCCACTCGAAGCACAAGGAGCGCATCCGACCCTCCCGGCGTCCAACTGCTCCGCGAGTGGTAGCTTTCCGCGCAGCGCCCAGACGCGATGCGGTAATTTTGAGCCACCCAAGATAAGACACTAACTTGACCTTAACTTTGTCAGGGCGCCCCTGGTATCTGGAGAACGTGAACAGACACTGTCTGGCAGCCCTCGTAAAAGCTGGCTGGGGAAGGGATTCTGAGTCATTTCATTTATTGCCACTACAGTTCTGCAAGAAAGCTTTTCCTCCCTGCCAAACTTTAATTATTTATGCTCTTCTAGGAAACGAAAGAAGAGGAGAAACGCGGGGGAAAACACCCATAGCCAGTCCCTTCCCTGCAGAGCCTTCGGAATGGGCTCCCTAAGGCAAGTGACTGGAGAACAAAAATGTGGGGAGATCACCTTTGTCCAAGGACGGTCGGACAGGCGCTGTGCACCCCCCCTCACGAAGGGGGGGGTGATTACAGCTGGAAGAGGCGGGGTGAAGAGGCCCCCCCCCCCCGCAGACATGAATATTTACAACGGTTCTGGATTTCTCCTCCACCAGCCGGCCTCCCGGAAGCCTCACTAGCCCGCCTCCTTCGGGGAGAGCCCCGCGGTCGGCCCTCTGAGCTTGCAGCCAGTTGAATGTCAGCCGAGGCCATTTTTTCTCGTTTAAAACCCTTTTTCTTGGTCAAAAGGCCTGCCCGGACTGCAGCATTTTGGAGGACGCATTTGTCTTTGTGCGAGGGAATGTTGAGCACTCAGATTTCAGCATCATTTCTCTTTGCATTTGTTTCTTAGGAATTTCGTCGTGGTTCCAAATCCCCTCCAGGACCTTGGCTAGGAAAGGAGAGACGACACCACCCCGCCTTTGTATTTGTGCGGATCAGTAAAGGGGATAAATTTGAAAAACACTGCTGAAGCCCCAACGGACAATGGAGATTTTACACTTAGAATAATTTCAATCTCTTTGGGGAGTGGTCTCCATGAATTTCTCCTCCAACCCCACCTCCCAGGCTAAAGAGAAAGAACATGATGATTGAATGGTATACACTGGAAAGAAAGTGTCTCTCTGTGTTATCCTAGGGCCTACGTCTAATTCTGGTTTCCTAGTCCTTTACCCAGCTCTCTGGACCTGAGGTCTGCGTGTGGCCTCCGCCTTTGTTCAGCTGTTTTGGGGGAGAGACTCAGCTCTGGGTACCACTACCTCCCTGAGCCCCATCAGGTGGGAAAACATTTCTAAAGAGGGCCTCGCAGCCTCTTCCTTCTTTTTTCCCCCGCCGTTGTATTTTTTCTTAAAGGAGCTGTTTTAAAAATATTTTAAAATACCCAGCAAATTTGCTTCAGGAAAGGGGAGTTGAGCCCTTGACTACTTGGTATTAGAGATTTCATGGTTTTGCTAATTCTTCCACTAGCTAAAAGCTAGCAATTCTCTAGTTTCCATTTCAAAGCTAGATGGGAGTTGAGGTCTGCAAGAGGATGGTGCATAGTGAGCAGGCTTTAACTTTCCCAGCCTCAGCTAGAGGCTCCTAAGGCCTACGGGGTGCAGAGACCACATTTCCCAAGGGAACCTGCTGGGCTCCAGGCAGAGGTGCCAGTATGGAGGATTTCCACAGGGCATAGCCTGTTCCAAAGTAGCCTGATCGAAACATGGCCAGGAGAGATGTTTTGTGTTGAAATAATCTGAGGAATCTCATATCTTAACAGCACCACCCGCCCCCAACAGCAAGCCTTAAAGTTTGAGAATTTAAGCAAAATACCGAAGCCCTGGCCTGCAACAAGCTGAGAGTTCACCTAATGCCCTCCAATCTGCCCACAGTCCCCCCTCCTCCCACTTGGATGTTTCATACACATTTTGTTCATAGGCTTTTATACACCATTTTCTGACTGACTTGGAAGCCATTTTCTCATTTAATGAACAGTCAACACCTGCAGTGAAACCACAACCAGGAAAGAAAAACGAATTTGGTGGCCTAAAATCATTAGGAGGGAATCCGAAACGTTTTTGAAAAATTGACATCAGTCCCTTGACAGCTTGGCTGGGACCTGGATATTTATTTCCACTCAAAACATTTTGATGTATCTGATATATACAAACTATTGTGGTTTTTTTTTTTTTTTTTTACAAAATCAAAACAACATAAAACATGCACAACAACTATTAGAGAGCAAAGAAAATGCATTTAGTCTAAACATAAACTGCGGTCAGTTGGACTGAGGCTTGGGACTCTCTGTGAGGTGTTCACTCCAGATCTAGGGCCTAGTCCTCCACTGAAAATAAATCATTGGACTTGAGGAACGAATCTTCAACTCTTTGGCTGTCATACATCTCAGTAGGAATTGGGGGGCGCTACTTCTCAGAAGGAGAGGGAAAAGAGGTAGGGATGGTAGAAGGAGCTGGGGGGGGGGCTCAGTTTCTCTGAGGGTAGGGCAGGACACCCCAGCACATGCAAAACAACTCCATCTAGCATCAGGAACCCCAGCCTCCACCAAGCAAGCCCAGCAGGGCCCAGGGCCATACAGGCACCACTGAGGCAG